GAATCTTGAGAAACCAAATTCTGATGATCAGCTGCAAATGTTATACTGCTGTTGGATGACATAGTAGTCATTTCCTCTTTAGGTTTCACATTCGCAACTTGGTTAGTGTAATTATTTGAGTTGATCAAATTGGAGCTCAAAATATGATCATTTTCATAGGAATTATTCCAGCTCTGAATAGTTTTAGGATTTTTCAATGGCCTTTCATGATATATATTTTGGGACATTTCTGCAGGTCTCTTAAGGCCAAAATTTGGCTGAGAAATGAAAGATTCATGCAAATTTTCACCAAATGAAGCAGCTATTGATATTGCACTGAGCTCATCAAATGAGTTAATTGGCCACTGTTGATTAAAACCATGATATTCCATTTCCTGCAACACAAACATATATATATCAAATCTAGGTCCAAACTTCGACTATATATAATCTTGAAAAACTCACGAAAATTAGTATGCGTTTGGACAAAAAAATTGTAATTTTCGAAAAAAAGTAGTATTTGGAGTAAGTTGAGAAATGAAGATGTTTAAAATTTAAAATTATGTTTGGGCATACATTTTATTTAAAAATATATTGCAGTTTTGTGAGTGGGGAAAAAAATTAAAAAAATTTGAATGGTTTTTGAAAAACTCATTTTCGAAAAATATACAAAAACTTACAAAATTTCATGGACAAATACGTTTTTGAAAGAAAAAATCGAGAAAAGAAAAAAAAATCTATGAATTAACGGGTCCTTAATTAAACAGCATAGAAGTATCTTACAAGTATTCCAAGTTTCTTGAAAATTCCCAGAAGCAAAGTGTTGAATTCCTGAAAAAGATCAAAATTAAAGAAGCAAATTAATATATGAAATGGGTAGTCATAAAAGTAGAATATATAAGGGTTTAAGGAACTGAGGACTTACTTTTAATTAAGAAAAAGGACAAAGCTTATCTTTTACCAATCTCAAACTCCTCTACTTTTGGAGACTTTTTGCTGCCATTTGTACTATTTTCTTCCCCATATATATAAGTGTCACTATCTCCATTTTCTTCTGTCTTCACGAGGTGGTTGATGTGAACCGGCTTTAATTTGTGGCATTAAAATATAGTAATAATAATTATAATTCAAACCATTGGGTGTGAAAATAAAAATTTGCAAGTAGATCTTAAGTGGTAGCTTTTAAGCTGGTGAAAGCTAGGATTTATTTAATCTGCTTTTTTGTCTTATTTGGAGTTTCTAAGACTTTTAGGGCTACTATATATGAATAATGATAATGCTTCTAGTATTTCTATAAATTTTCCTATTATATTCCTCCACCTGGCCATTGACAATTTAAAAGTGGAAAAACTTAATAGTACAACAAATTAAGTTGTATATTTTCTCCATAATGTTCCCACAACCTGTGTCATCATCCTAAAAAATCATCCTCCAGATTTCGCGGGACTTTGATAAGAACCTTTGACTATAATAAAGAACATGGAATTAACCTAATATATATTAATTAAGCACATGTACGGGCTTCTAAAAATAAGCTGGAAAAGTATAGTATAATTGGAGGAAAAGATCCTATTCGTTCATGGGAGACACAGCAACCCTATCCTGTCGTATATATACGCCAACAATATGGAGTATTAATTAATATTAGTACTAGTGATAATATGTTGTGCACGTATGAATTAAGATATTCTAGAACTTTTCTTGAAATAGCACTTTCTTCTTTACTATTTCTTATATTGATACTTACCGACCACATATACCGAAAGAAAGATAAGTATTTGGACGCGGAAAAGAATTTTATACATACACTTTGTTCCATATGTTTTCGGTTGTTACGGGGTTGCATCAAGGATCTGCGCTCAACCTATTTCTATTTGCCCTGGTGATGGATGCACTGACTCATCATATTCAAGGGGAGGTGTCATAGTGTATAGTATTTGCTGATGACATAGTTCTGATTGATGAGACACGAGGCGACATCAATGAGAGGCTGGAGGCACTACAACACAATATATCTATAGCTACAAAATCTTAGCTACGAATTTAAAAATCATGGCTAATAAAAAATTAGAATTTCCTGGCTATTTACAAATTCGTAAAATTTGCTAGCCACAAAAATTAAATTGGTAAAGCTAATTCCTCATTTTTGCTATAATTGATAACAATCATAGCAATAACTATCTAAATAACTACAAATTTTTTGCTACAATAAAGTTGCGCAGCTAATCATAAGTTTTTGCCATGCATTAAAAGTTATTGTAGCAATAGTAACTTTTTAGCTACAATAAGTTATTTAAAATAAAATATTGTAGCTAAAGAAATACATTTGCTTCAAATTATAAAAAGTTGTGGCAATAATATAGCTACTGATTTATTGCTATGACAAAATTTTGTAGCTAATTGTTAGTTTTTGCCACAAACTGAAAGTTACCGTAGCAAAGGTAACCTTTTAACCATACTAAATTATTTAAAATAAAATATGATAGCTAAATAAATATTTGTGCTTTAAGTCCTGAAAATGCGCGGTAATAGTTGGCTTAGTAACTACCATTATTTGTCATTATGGAATAACTAGCCACAAATTTATTGCTATGATAAAATTTTGGTAGCTAGTTATTAGATTTTGTCACGAGTTGAATCCTACTATAGTAATAATAATCTTTTGGGCATATTAAATTATTCGGAAAAATCTAATGAGTATTTTTGCTTCAAGTTATAAAGAAAATAAAAATAGTTGGCTTGAATAAATGAAAATGGTTGCCAGGATAAAAATATGAATATTGCTCAATTACGAAAAATCATGACAAGTGTTGTCCAACACTATTATGTAATGAAAAGTTAATGTCAAATGTAACAGTTACATTTTTCTTAAATATAGGAAAATAGTAATTGTATATGATAATGGAAGAAAATAGTAATTGTATATGAAATTAAAGAATTATTTAACATTCAAATAACTAAGATTAAAATACAAAATTATTCTTCATTCTCAAATAGTAGATCATTTGTTACCTCCTTATAGCAGCAAACTTATCAATTGACTTCTTAGATTTATCAAACTCATATTTTATTTTATTGCAATTGTTGTTAATTATATAATTTTTTATGTAAATTTAAATTATTATTAATAGTTGTAGATATTTATTTATGTATTTACTTTATTATTTTTAAATAAGTGTACTTACATTTTCTAAAAGAAGTATTCATATTGAAGACCTTACATTTTTGTATTCTTTTCTTTATCATTTGTTTTTTGTGAATTTATTTATGTAAGGTAAAAGTTCTTATCAAACTATCTTCTACAATTTTTTTAAATCAAATTTGGTTTATTAATATTTTTATTTGGTATTTTAGTTCTTTAGTTACTACAGTAGTGGACCCATAATTTTTATTATTGGGTGTCAGTCTTTAAATAAGTAAATACTCGAAGAAGTCAAGAATGTATATGTATATATGTATATCTATTGACAAATCGAATAGGGTACATTAATGGTTTTACAAACACAAATTATTTTTTTTTGCTTTTTGATAATATAATTAAGATCATAGTATAATTATAATTAATTATTTAAAATTGGATGAGCTAATATGAAGAATTTGAATTAACGAAAAATAATTATTTCCTTTAATGTTGCGAATAAATAATTAAGCCTTTGAATTAACTAATTAACAAGAATTAATTTAATTATTTTTCGTATTCATCATATAAGTAAAATTATTTTCAAATTGACAAATTGAATAGGGTACATTAATGATTTTACAAACACAAAAATCCAAAAAGTGAAATATTAAATTAATTTTTTGCTTTTTGATAATATAATTAAGATCATAGTATAATTATAATTAATTATTTAAAATTGGATGAGCTAATATGAAGAATTTGAATTAACGAAAAATAATTATTTCCTTTAATGTTGCGAATAAATAATTAAGCCTTTGAATTAACTAATTAACAAGAATTAATTTAATTATTTTTCGTATTCATCATATAAGTAAAATTATTTTCAAATTGACAAATCGAATAGGATACGTAAATTTGTTTGGATAAGAATAGCATTAGCATATGGAAAAATTAGTTATAATAGTATTAAGAGTCAAATTCATAAAAAAAAAAAAAAACTTGAAGCAATCAGGAGGAAACAATAGAATACAAAGTATATTCTAAATGAATTATCATTTTTCTATTATTATTATTATTATTATTATTATTATTATTATTATTATTATTATTATTATTATTATTATTATTATTATATAAATAACAACTTCCCTTATGTTCTATATTAAATTATTTGATGTAAAAAATTATAAGTCATTTAGGCGTTACGTTTTCCCTAATCAATTTTTTCTATGAGCATAACACCAACCTCTTCATTCCCATAAATCATAATGGAAGAGATTTTTTTTAAAATTTATTTTATTTGACAAATCTTTGTTGATAATAGTATTTACATATTTTTTAATTATTTTCATTATTAGATCATAGAAATAACAATATTCTTTTATAAGATATTTCTATAGAAGTCCTCAAAAACTATAATAAGGCATCTAAAAACTTTTATGAAAAGAATTCTTTTTTCATTGAGCCGGCTAAATAAAATATTTAGTAGTCATCATTTTCAAGAACTTATACATTTTTTGTTAATTTTATTTTAAAAGTCAAACACATTGTTTATTAACTTTTAGTATTTTTTTTAAAAAAGTATATTTTATTGATATAGGAGCGCGTACCCTAAGACTAGTATTATTGAAATATGAACGTATAACAAAACAAACAATATCATCCAAATGAAAAAGCGGTAAAGAAAAAAATATTTTACAATATCTTTAATTCATGCAAATAGTGGTTTTTTTCTATTTTAGTTAAACGTAACTACTCTTTTGGTTTTTTTATTTGGTAATTAACTTCTTTTGTATTAATCACCAAAGATCAGTCTTTACAAATTCATAGTCTAGCATAAAACTCTGTTGACTATCTCATCATCAACTAATATACTGGATTGCAAAATAGTTATACTAAGCTACTCTACTATCAAAATTTGCTGCATTTGTTTTCTAGCTCTAGGAACTACTGTAACATTACATATATAAGCTATTTCTCGTGCTAAAACTTCACTGCTACGATATATCTGTTCAAAAATATGTGTATTCCTTTCCATCCATAATGCATATGAAGCTTCAGTAACCACCATTCTGAAAATGCTGGCCCTACTTGACTTTCCTTTGGCTTTGTTGATGATCCATTGAAGATGTTGATCCCAGTTGTGATTATTCGATTGATCTTCTTGAATCCACCTCATTACTTGTTTCCACAACATTACTGCATATGAGCATAACAAAAAGAGGTGATCTCTTGTCTCCACATGTCCTTGGCATAACACACATTGTTGGTTAATGTTCAATCCCCAGTTAACTAACCTGTCCTTGGTAGGTAATCTTCCTTGTAGTAGTAACCATAAGTTGAAGACAGTCTTTCGACGAGCAGAGTTCTGGAATAGCAGATTCTTCCAACTTACTCTTGGTAGATCTCCTAATAGTTGTAAGTATAGTTGTCTGATGGTGCCAATGTGATCATTTGAACTTTGAGCTTGTTGCAGAATATCTCTTGAAGCAATTATCCTCCTGACCATCCAACTAGCCTGCTTTGGAATTGGCATGTCCTTCAGTTGTTGTTGTTTAACATAGTAGGCATTAATCCATTTGATCCATAGTTTGTCTTCTTTATGAGCTAAATCCCAGCACACTTTTGCAATTGTTGTCTTGTTCCATAGAAGAAGGTTGATGAGGTTCAGACCACCAACAGATTTAGGAGTACACATTCTCTCCCAAGACACATATGCTTTCTTAGTGATAGTGTTGCTACCATACCATATATAGCTTCTACATAAAGCCTCAATCATCTTCAGCACTTTAACTGGAAAGATAAACAACTCAGCCCAGTAGGCTTGGATGCCAAAAATAACAAATTGAACTAGGTGCACTATGATAGCTTCTTAGCAGTCCATGAGGAGATCTTGGCTATGATCCTATCAATTAAAGTTTGCCATTGGATCAAATCAATTTCCTTAGTGGATAAAGGAATGCCTAAGTATTTAAATGGTAGCTCTCCTTGTACAAATCCAAGATGATCTAGAATCTGTTTCTTCACTTCCTGCTTCACTCCACCAAAGTAAACTGAGCTTTTACCTAGGTTAGCTTGTAGTTCTGAGGCCTCAGAGATTTGAGAGAAATACTGGTACATAGCAACAATGGAAGGTAGGTCTCCTCTTAAAAATAGAAGGAGGTCATCAGCAAAGTGAGTTATGCCCAGTTTTTTGCACCTGGGATGGTATTGAAATTTGGCCTCTTTTCCCAACTCAGCAAGTGATCTACTCAAATATTCCATTACAATTGCAAATAAGAAAGGAGAGATAAGATCTCCTTGTCTAAGTCCCTTATCAGCCTCAAAAGGTTCAGTAGATTCTCCATTTACAAGAACAGTATAGCTAACTGTTTTAATACACTCCATAATCCATTTAATGAATCTGGCAGGGAAGCCAATCTCCTCCATCACCTGTTGTAGAAAAATCCATTCCACTGAGTCATATGTTTTCTGGAGATCAATTTTAATCATGCATCTAGGAGATATATGGGCTCTAGTATAGGATTTGACTAACTAGATATATGGGCTCTAGTATAGGATTTTACTAACTCATGAGCTAGGATTACATTATCAGCTATCTTTCTGCCAAGAACAAAACCAACTTGGGCTTTACATATTATACTTGGCATGACCTTTTGTAGTTTGGCAGCTAAGATTTTGGATATCATTTTTTACAACACTGAACAACAAGCAATTGGTCTGTATTCCTTGATTGTGGTGGGCTTAGAAACTTTAGGTACTAGAGTAATGATGGAAGAATTCATTGGTTTATACATCTTGGCAGTTAAAAAGAACTCTTTAATAGCTTCTTTGACTTGGCTGCTGATGATACTCCAGGCCTTCTTGAAAAAATAGCATTATAACCATCAATCCCTGGAGCTTTATCATCTCCAATGGGTTTAAGACTCTCCAGAATTTCTTGATCAGTTACTTCTGCACATAGTTCCATTTTTTGTTGCCGAGATAGAATAGGACCATTAGACATATATAATCTATTTATGGCAGGAAGTGATTTAACTGCTGAGCCCATGAGTGCCTTGTAGAATCCCAGGATCTCCATTTTAATAGCTGCAGGATCAGTTACCCTATCTCCTAGACCATTTGTAATTTCTGTAATCTGTTTTCTTTGTGATCTTTCTTTCATAACTGCAGTGAAATACTTGGTGTTAGAATCACCTAGTTGAATCCATTTTGCTCTTGCTTTATGCTGCAACACACTTTCTTCAATTAGAGACCACTTTTCAAGGTTGAGTAATGTCTCTTTCTCCTTATGTAGTAAGCCATCAGAATAAATACTTGCAAGCTGCTCTTGTATTTCTTTCAATTCCAATCTAGCCTTTTCAATCCTCTGAGTAATGTCCTTGAAATCCTTAGCATTTAAAGCCTTTAGAGGAGCTTTCAATGCTTTAAGCTTAATCCATATTGTTTTTAGAGAACCAAAATTATTTGAAGAGTTCCAGATAGATGACACAATCTGATGGAAATCTTCATGAGTAGCCCATACATTAAAGAACCTAAAAGGGGCCTTTCCTTTCCAAGAAGAAGCTGCTAGAGTCAATACCGCAGGATTATGATCAGAAATTTGAGGTAGATCATATGTTGTCTCCACATGGCTCCAAGTCATCATCTACTCATAGTTGCCAAAAACTCTGTCTAACATGCTACATACCCTATCATCTCCAGGTTGTTTATTTGTCCAAGTATAGTACTCTCCTTTCCAAGGAAATTCTGTTAATCCTATTTGCAGAAGATAACAGCCAAATTCTTGAATCTCTGAGTAACTAATAGGATTACAAGATAGTCTGTCATTAGGATATAAAACTGCATTAAAATTTCCTGCAACTAACCATGGACTTGTGATACTTGTTGAAATTTGTTGCAAATTCTCCCCTAGTGATCTTCTTTGCTTTATCCCATTGAAACCATAAACAATAGTGAGATAGCAATCTATATCCCTCCCTTATACTTCTTACTAGACAATGAATCATTTGAGGATCATCATTAAGTCCAGTAACAGTAAGATGATTAGCATCCCATAGTATCCATATCCTACCATTTCTAGCTTCATTATAATTAGCTAGCATACTCATCCAGGAACAAGAAATTTTGAAATTCTTTGAGCATTATTTTCTTTTACCTTAGTTTTCACTAATCCTACTAACTTTATTTTATTGCATCTAATATACTCCCTAACTTCCTTCTGTTTATACCTTTTATTTACACCTATAATATTCCAGAATAACCACTTCATTGTTGATTGCTTGTTCTACCTCTATCCTCAAGTGGCACTTCATATTTGCTATTGGACACTGCTTCAAATCTATTTCTCACAGGAATGGGGGACATGGGAGGAAAATTAATGAGGTTCAATTCTGGGCTTTGGACTGTTTTTCCTTTATCTTCCTGCCTTTCAACATTTGGAACCATACTTGGTAGGTCACAGCTTTCCTTAGAACTCTAAACATCAGTTACCTTATTAACAGTAACTTGTGATTCAGCTGGGGCTGTTTCTCTTTGAACAGGTAGGTACTGGGGCCTTGGTTCTCCATTCCTATGTATTTTTAGTTTTCTTCACTTAGTTAGGTTGTTGTGTAACATGTCTCACTTAGCTTGAGCACCTGTGTCCTACTATTTGACACTTCTCACAATAAGCAGGTTTCCAATCATAAGTAACACTTTGCAAGAATTTCTTCCCAATTGGATCCATCACCCACACTTCACTTGGCAGCTCTTTGGTAACATTAATCTCAATAAGCATCTGAGCATAGGAGACTCTAGTTTGCTTGGTTGTGCACTCATCAACAAAAATAGGTCTTCCAAACACACTGGCTATCCTGCTCAATGATCTCATTCCCCAACAAGACATAGGAAGCTTGGAAAATTTAACTCATAGTAGGATAACAGTAGAAAATTCCTCAGTGAAATCAAAATCAGGGGTCCACGACTTCAGAATTATAGGTCTATTAGCTATAGAATAAGGTCCAACACATAGAATTTCATGAGCATCTTCCATAGTTTTGAATCTGATTATGTAGTAGCCTTCATCGTGATATAATGGATATGGTTCTTGGACATGTGACCAATGTAAGTTGATGTATCTCTTCCTCTTCCACCTCTAATTTGTCTAATTGAACTATAGGCTGTCTATCTACAATTAGCAGTGGAATATAAGATAGTGACATACCATTTGTAGCAAATCTATTCTTATGAAAAAGCATTGCCCATGAATGTTTAGATTCTTCTGTTTTTTTGTTTGTTACCACTGGTTCCACTGGTTTTTCTGCTGAGTTGACTTGAATCTGCTCTGGATGTTGCATGGTTACTGTTTCATTGGTTGAAACTTTCATCGGATCTGGTACTGCTTCAATTGGTGCTGGAGATGCTAGATCCAGCTTCTTAGAGACATAAGACTGGTGCGAAGTTGAGCCAATTGAACATGCAGTACCTCCAGTAGATGGATCTATGCTCTGAACTGAAGCTAGTGGAGTGGTTAATGGAGCTTCTTTCTCCATTAATGGTTGCTTAATTGTCGTCAGTAGGTTCTCTAATGTTGTTAGCGGGTATTTACAGGGTCGTCCTCTACCTCTGCCTCTTCCTTTCGCCATGGATACAAGCTTGGCGTACGTTTAACTAACGTGCGCCGAGAGCATTTTGAGAAGGAAGCATTTTGAGTGTCAAACTTAATATTCTTTTGGTTTATTGTAGGTACTTTTTCTACCTTTATTTGAATTTATGGTATTGTATTAAGAAGTAAAATAAAGCAAAATATATAGAAAAAGAAACACAAACTAAATCCCTAAACCAAAACCTAAACTTTCTCTATCTTAGCCGCTACTCTCCTCCCCCACTTTCTTATTTCTTTCATTGACCTTTAGTAGTTGGCATTTCAAGGTTGCGAGAAAGACAGAAGGATCAATAAGAGTGTATCCCGATTGCGATCTCTATTTATGGACAAAAATTTTAACTTTTTGGTTCGTCTCTTCCCTGGTAAGCTCATTTCTCTATATTATAGTATTTTTGAATCTTCTTATGCCTACTTGAGTTTTGGGCTTTTAGTTTAATTTTACGGGTTATCCCAGCAATTTGATAGATATTATGCCTTATTTTTTGATAAGTAGTGAGTGAAATTATAAAGATTTGATAGATTTTATGCCTTACACCTAATTGACTTGAGTTTCTATTTCAATTGTTTGTTTTTGATTTATAGGATGCTCAAGAGAAGAGTGCCTTTGAGAAACTTTATTATCTTCTAATGCCAAATTGTAAATCTGTTTTTCTTCATATTTTTAATTTTATGATGTTTATTTAAATGCTTTTTTTCCTTCTATGATGAAACAAGTTTAGTTTTTTTTTTAATCTGATACATGACTAAGTTTTTCTTATTCTATGATTCATTAAATTTTTAATTATTAATTGTAAATGCATCTAACGGGTATATGTTCTGATAATTCAAATATAAATTTCTCACAAGATCATTTTATTTTATATTTCAGTCGTGATAATGGAGAGTGATTCATATATTCCTGGATGCATAAAGATCAACGGTTGTGATGAGGTTGGCAACATAAATCATCAAGATCAAACGAGGGTTGTAAGCACATGATTTTTGCCCTATGAAAGAATTACTCCAAAAAAATTCAAAATAAAACAATTTTCCTTTGTGTGCAATTTTTGAATTTTCGTGGCATTTTAGGATAATTATTTGTATTTGTCCATGCATGTTTATTTGTTAAATTAATAAAAAATACAAAAATATGT